TTTCAATTTCGCAAGTAAGAATCTCCCCAAGATGATCTTTGAGTTTCTTACTTCCTCTCCGTCCACTGTGTATTTGAGACCAAGGCTTGTGGCTGAAGAATTCATCCTCATTGACTCGTGACTCTGATGTCTTATTACAGACGACAAACATGCCATCCATGAAGATCGAGTCTCCGTTTTCAATATCACTTTTTGCTGAAATTACCTGATACATGTTAGCATCCATGCAGCCCGAGTTTGAGGATCGACTGACTGCTCGCTCGGCTTCTTCGCGATCCGCTTTATCACACTTTGTGAAAACCCCAACCAGCCGCCCCTTTTCTGATATATGTTCCTTGCAAATCTGATAAGACCGCTGGTTTCCCAGGTCAGAAGTTGCGGGTATTGTGCATCTAACTTGTGATTAGTCTGTGAATCGAACTCGACAATGCCATTTGACAAGAAACGTACATGATTGTGTTTTCCGGTCGGGAAATGTATTCTTTAGCTAGTTCCTGCGTCCCAAGAGGCTCAGGTTCATTGACACCATATTCTGAGGAGATGAGGCCTGGGAGATCCAGGATGTTGAAAGGAGACCTGTTAGGTCCTTCAAGCTCAACCCTAACAATATCAGGGACAAAGTTTTTAGCCCCTATGCCTTGACCTTTTCTGATGCCAATTTTGTTCTCAGAGAGCTGAATATTTTAGTCAGCACTGCATACACCCAGTCAATAGCAATAATGGCAATCACTCACATCCTTAAGCGCAGCCTCGAATACATCCATGGTCAAGGTATCTCCCTCTAGACGGTACTCGTCTGCAGCAGCATCAGCTCGTTGCAAGCCTTTCACATCTCGTGGTGCGCGTTCTAGTGAAATACGGAATCGTTCCCTACTGCCCTGTGAACTAGGGCTACGGCGCGAAATGACACGAATTGGAAAGCGTGTACCGATCCCAGCCATGACGGGGAATGAAATGTCAGTCAATGTTCTGAGCAAGGATGATTTCCCAGAAGATTGTTCCCCTACGACGACGAGCTGGGAATTATCAGCTTGTAACTCATCGAAATGGCATGATAGTCTAGACATACCTGTGGAATGGCCAAGTACTTATGGGAGCCGCAAGCTTGGAGCCTATCAATGGCATTGAAAAGGATTTGTCGCTTCTCGTTATCGAATGGATCATCAACAACCATTGGAAGATCGGCGGGCTTATCTCCGCGAGTAGTTGATGAGCTTCGAGGGGTCGCATTAGCCGTTCCTTCGGATGGACTTGCGTCTCGCGAACCAGAAGAATCAGCAGACGCGGATCCACTGTCTCCCTGCTGGGTGTGGAGGTCATGGTAGCCAGTAGATGTCTCTCCCGTTGCGGAAGACATGGTACTCTTGTTAATATTCTGAAATGAGTTTGAAGAAGGGTTGCTGTTCAAAGACATTGCGGGTTGGAAAGATTGTTTTGCGAGTGACTGGGTTTCAGATAATGTAGTCTGTCAGCAAAAGTCAGAAAGCGACACAGCAGGAGTTCGTCTCTTATATATAAGTACGGCATCAACGGGGTGTCAGGTCCTCTGACCTTTCGGCGCTTTTACCTATAAAGAATGATGCCCGTTGGTGCAGGTGGTTTTGTTGTTAGGTCATGGGTATGTTACAGCCCTCTTCAACTAAAAGGGGCAGAAAAGAAGGCAGTGCACGCATAAATCTCGCATTGAGAGGTTTTCTCAGCTGTTGGTCGTTAGCTTGCGTCATGAATTGCTTCAGAAAAAGGCATTGCGAAGGCTGCGCCGCTGCACAGGAGATTGTGATGCAACTTGGTGTTGGTTGAATACCCTGCAGCTGCATTTCAGCTTTCCTAATCCAGTAAGGAACAACACTGCCAACAAGGATCACGGAAGCTTCCGCGGGCACCCCTAGTTGAGATAGCGCTTCCGCATGGACAATCCTCCTACGAGTAATGATTTGTCGACTTCACTGACAGACTGACTCAATGGCCTTGCGCAAATTAACCCTGAATGATCGTTTGCTTTGGTGAAAGTGTACTCCATTCCTAAGTATGGCTTTTTACTTAACAAGTTAGAGCTACCTTGTCGAGATAATGCCGCAAAACCAGAGCGGAGAAAATGATGGCCTTCGGAATTTACAATGTTCGCATTTCGCATCAACTAAATGTTCAATGCAGTGAGGAATTGAAGGAGAGAGCTTCATGGCAGTAAAGATATCTAATTTGTTGGTCCTCAAGATGAACGATGACGGCAGGGTTATCTAATGGGAATGCTAGTATGTTGTTTTAGAGGCTAGAGAGAGAATACCGCTACGTCGGGATTCATTATGGATGAAGCTATCTGTTTGAAAAAGCACTGCACTGCCAAGCTTAGAGAAGAATGAACAGACGGTAACTGAAGATGCACCTAATAGTAACTTGAACTCTCTTTATTGTTTATATCTATGCCATGACTAGGTGACCAGGTAAACCCTTCCTTCAAAAGGCGACAAGACACCAGTCTGTTCTTTTCCAGCATGTGTCGACATAACAGGCACCAACTTAACATCCTGCCCGTTCCTTACACCAAGCTCTTCACCCGTCAGAGGACTCAGCGTCTTCTCCTCAGAAGCAAAGTTCAAAACAACCGCAACCTTGGAACCATCTACCTGCGACTCCTTGACAAAAGCATAAACATCAGGGTCCTCCCGCCGGATTAGCTTATAATCTCCATACACCGTCAGGTCAGAAAACTCTTTTCGGAAACGCAGTGCTTTCTTCCAGAATGAAAGCACGCTGTTTGGATCATCCAGCTGGGATGCGACGTTGATCTCGCGCGATAGAGGATGGGCTTGCATCCAGGGCTCTTTCGGTTGGTCTACTTCAGAGAAACCGCCGTGCTTGGCGTCGCTCCAGCAGATGGGGATACGAGCGTGATCTCGAGCGAGGTATTGAAGAGCATTGAAGGCCTTGTCGATCTCTTGTTCATCGTTTGATCGCTCCTTGACTATATCGAGGAACTGGTAACTCTCAATGTCGACATAGTTCTCTAATGGGTAGCTCTCCTTTGGGGCATTGACGGATCCGATTTCTTGGCCTTGGTAGACATACTGCGTACCGCTTAGACAAGACTGCAGTAAAGCCAGTAGTTTAGCGCCTGCGACTCGGTACTGTGGACTATCGTTTGTAAAGCGTGACACAGAGCGTGCTTGGTCGTGGTTCTCCATAAACACAGTCGTCCAAGCATCCGTCCCCTGAATCAGACTCTGCGTCCTCCCAAAAGCATCTTTCAGCTGAGGGAGCGTATAATTCTTCGGTACCGTCTCGTATTTATGCGTCTTTCCAAATCCAATATCCACAACATCAAACTGGAATACCATGTTGAGCTGCTTCTCTTTCGCGCTCACGTATCTCAGGACCTTTTCCAGATCCGGTGTATGAGGCAGTTCTCCAACTGTGATAGCGCCGTATCGCTCGAGAATCTCGTTCATCTCGCCGAGAAACTCGTGCATGCGAGGTCCGTTGCAGTAGAGAAGACCGGCAGGTTGGTATTTCGCTTTCGGGTCGGTGATGGGCGCGTCGGGAAAGTCTTGGAGCTTGGAGTACATGTTGACCGTGTCGACTCTGAAGCCATCGACGCCTCTGTCGAGCCAAAACTCCATCGACGAAGCATAAATGGCGCGACGCGTCTCTGGGTTCTCCCAATTGAGATCGGGCTGCTCTTTTGCAAAGAGGTGTAGGTAATACTCCCCGGTTGCCTCGTCCCACTCCCAAACACTACCGCCACCGAAATTGGAGCGCCAGTTATTTGGAGGAAGACGTTGGCCTTCTGGGGAGTACTTGGCAGGTCTCCAAATGTACCAGTCACGCTTGGGACTATCCTTGCTGAGCCTTGACTCTTCAAACCAAGCATGTTTGTCAGAAGTATGGTTGATAACGAGATCAAGCATAATCTTCATGCCCTTTTCGTGTGTCTTGCGGATCAACTCCTCCATATCCTGGAGAGTACCGTATGGAGCATAGACATCTTCATAATTGGAGATGTCATAGCCCATGTCGACCTGCGGGCTGTCGTACATGGGACATACCCAGATGACATCAACGCCTAGGCTGGCGATGTAGTCTAGCTTGGATATGATGCCCTGGAGATCACCCATGCCATCGCCGTTGGAGTCGCAGAACGATGCAGGGTAGATTTGGTAGATGATGGCCTGCTTCCACCATTGCTTTGAACGTCTGCTGACAGTCATTGTGAGGTCAAAAAAAGAATAATTTAATTCAGAACTTGCTTCATGCAAAGAGAATGATTTGAGTAGATTTAAATATCGTCCGATGGTAATTCACCCGTTTATTTTCCCCAGATCACGATCATTCCCCCGCACCATTCGGTCGGACCGACCAAATAGATCCGAGTGAAACCCAACGAGCCTCGTCTCAAAGTCTGCGGAGTCTCCATCTGCAGCGTCATTGGTCCAACCTCGGACCGACAACATAGTTGAATCATGATTGGCTCTTGGCCGGACCGACGAGAAGTCCAAAGTCTAATCCCTCGTCTTCATTTCCCAATGGCTCACGAGCATCTGCTGATCTCCGCCACTTTTTGGTGTCTCAGTGGTCAATGCTCGGTCCGATGAGCGAACCCCAGATTTACATGATTGTCTCCCCATGGGGGAGGTGAGGATACACAACGGAGACTCCTCCACTGCTAACCATACTCGAACGTCCTCCAGAGTCTCCCCCCTAGAGAATTAACCTTACAATGTGGCTGACGCCCGGTCCAACATGGCTTCATTTACGCTTAATTCTAGACGACTCTGGTCTAGCACCGGTCCTATCACGGCCAACCCCGCGAAGGACTCCCTTTGCGCTAACAGTTGGCCCAAACTTTGTACCACGATCCTGTTTTTCCAATATTTTCGCTTCTCGACAGCTTCAACTCCTTGAACATCTCCAACTATAAGATGTCGCGTGTCGCTCACTAACTCACATCCATCATCACTCATCTCACCTTCTACAGTCTACTACTCTCCATTGACCACCTCACCATGTCTGATAGCAAGGTTGACAAGGGCATCGCCCCCGTCGCGGTGCCAGTCGACGCAAACGTCGCTCATGAAGCCGCTGCTGCTACTGAGGCCGAGCACAACATGGGCCTGCTACAGTCGTTCAAGCTCTACAAGAAAGCTTGTCTGTGGTCCATCTTCCTCTCCCTCTGCATCATCATGGAGGGTTTCGATGTTGTCCTCCTCAACAACCTCTTCGCCTATCCTCCCTTCCAGAAGAAGTTTGGTGTCGAGCAGCCTGATGGCAGCTATCAATTGACAGCTGCCTGGCAATCCGGTCTCTCCAACGGAACTCTCTGCGGTCAAATCATCGGTCTTTTCCTCAACGGTATCATCGCTGATCGCTTCGGCTATCGCAAGACGCTCATCGGTGCTCTCATTGGCTGCATTGGCTTCATCTTCATCATCTTCTTCTCCGAGACTCTGGTCCAGCTTCTCATTGGAGAGATCTTCATCGGTATTCCCTGGGGTGTCTTCCAGACCCTCACCACCACCTACGCCTCTGAGGTCTGCCCGACCCACCTCCGCGCTTATCTCACCACCTACGTCAACCTCTGCTGGGTTCTCGGCCAATTCATCGCCTCTGGTGTTCTCCGCGCCATGGTCACTCGCGACGACGAGCTCGGATACAAGATCCCCTTTGCTCTGCAGTGGATGTGGCCTGTTCCTCTCATCATTGGAATCTACCTTGCTCCTGAGTCTCCCTGGTGGCTTGTCCGTCGCGGCCGCATCGAAGAGGCCAAGAGGTCCCTCGAGCGTCTCACCGTCCGCAACAGCAACGTCGACTTCCGTCCCGATGAGACCATTTCTATGATGGTTCACACCAACGAGATGGAAAAGGAAGCCCAGGCTGGTACTTCATACTTTGATCTCTTCAAGGGTGTCAGTCTTCGCCGAACTGAGATTGTCTGTGTTACCTGGATGATTCAGACTCTCTGCGGTGCTACCTTTATGGGTTACTCCACCTACTTCTATCAGCAGGCCGGTATGGCTGTTGAGAACAGTTTCTCCATGTCTCTCGGTCAGTACGCTATTGGTGCTGTCGGCACTGTATTTTCCTGGTTCCTCATGGGCTGGTTCGGTCGTCGAACCCTCTACCTCTATGGACAGCTTGCCATGTGTGTCTTCCTCCTGACCATCGGCTGTGTCGCCTTTGCTGGCCGTGACAACGTCGCTGCTCAATGGACCATCGGATCTCTTCTTCTCATCTACACCTTTACCTACGATTCGACCGTCGGACCCGTCTGCTACTCTCTCGTCGCCGAGCTGTCCTCCACCCGTCTCCGAACCAAGACTGTCGTCCTCGCCCGAAACACATACAACATTGTGGGAATCATGACCAACATCATCACTCCTCGCATGTTGAACCCTTCTGCTTGGAACTGGGGTGCCAAGGCTGGTTTCTTCTGGGCTGGAACCTGCTTCCTCTGTGCTGTCTGGACTTATTTCCGTCTTCCTGAGCCCAAGGGCCGAACATATGGTGAGCTGGATGTTCTCTTTGAGCGTGGAGTTCCTGCTCGCCAGTTCAAGACTACAGAGATTGAGCGTCTGGATGCCGAGTTTCAGACCAAGGAAAAGGCTAGTGCTGTGTATGTTGAGAAGGTGAACAGCAGTGCTTCTTAATTGTGAGTGGAATAATGTAATAGTTGTCATAGCGTAGTTGTTAGTACCAAGACACATCGATTGTTTATTATACCGCATCATATTGTGACGTGTCAAATGCCGGAACTACCCCAGTATACTCCGTACTCCAGTTGAGGCTTGGCTAGACTCAGCTCGTCTGAATGTGGCGATGTGGGGTTATCAACAGACTTTAGCGTGATAAATCTCGTGCCTCGACTCCGCATCTCGTCTTGATCACTTCATTCCTCAATCAACAAACAATGACCGGAAGAATCTCAAAAGCCTGCGATCCATGTCGCGTTCGCAAGGTCAAATGCAACGGCTCAGTCCCTTGTTCACAATGTGGCCACCTTAACCTCGCATGCGTCTACTCCGCTGCAACCTCCAAGCGAAGACCTACCGTGCGAGGGCGATTGGTAGCGCAGATTCGAGAGGGGACAAAGCCAGATGATGCAAGGTCCAATTCGGCTTCTCCACAGACTGATGACCCCTCGCCTGTCGCTTACAATGCGATACCGACGAGTATTGGGTCGGCGTACTCTTCAGACTTTTTTCTCAATCTGCTGCTCGACTATGAACGCGTGGTTTTCCCCGTCAATCCAATTGTTCTCCCTTCGGAGATTGTGGCTGCAATTGAGGCGATGGATCAAAACTTTGAGGATGCCGCTCTTGTATACGCATACGCTGCTGTCACCATCAACCTGACACAGACATCTTGGGACTCGGAAGGCGAAGCACCTGTCAGAATCACAGAGCTCATGAATCTCAGCTTCAAAGCGCATAGACAATCCGAGATGGGCGTTGGTATTCTTGGGAGGCTACCAGTGACAGTCAAACGTATTGTCACATGCGTATTTCTAGAGATCTGTCTTATGGCGTTCAAGCGATTCGACCGCAGTTTTGTCATTCTTCGAGAAGCCATTGCAATGATTCAGATGCTCGACCTAGATCGATACAAGGATGCTTCACTAACCGACCACGAACTAGCCACCCGGCAGCGTCTGTACTGCGAGATTTCCATCCACGAACGTTTCCTCACGATAGTAGCTGGCCATCCTGCTATTCTACCTCCGCTCAGCCCAAGTGTCCTAGCGATAGACCACGAACTTCCTCCTCATGTCAACCAAGGCTTCAATCGGCTGATTGAGCTATTCCACGTATTGGATGATACTTTTTTGGCTCACTGGAGAGCACAGCAAGATCCACAGGCCACGGCTCCAGAAATGACTGCTGCCTGGATTGAGCATAAACAAGCCCAGCTTGACCAGGACGAGATTGATGCTGCGGAAACTGATAATGCTTTGGTGTCGAGTGGCTGGGGGTTGACGGAGCTTCAACACGTTGACCTGTTTATCACGCGATTATGGATGAGAATTCTGGTCTGGCAGCTTGCGTTATCTCAAGGCCTTCTACAATCTGCCGTACCGCAGAACTCTCATGAGGGCTTTTCGATGCATTTCCCCGCACAGCGTTTATCGACTCAACTACGCAATGTGGTTCTCCGATTGGAGAGGGTTGAGAGTATTGGACTGCATGGATCTGGTATCCTGCAGAAGCTGTTTGAGATTACGAGTACCGTGGCCGATGTGTTGGCATTACCGATTGGACCAGGCGAAGAACAAGATGCTGAAGCGAGAGTTGAGGACTTCTTGTTCCTTGTCACGTTCTTGTTGAGCTTCGACAGGATTCATCAGAATCAGAGGGAGTACTTGAAGGAGAAGTTGAGTGCGCTTCAGAGGGAGCAATCGGGATTCCAGAATCTGGCTACATATAATCCAGACGGATGGTGCGATCAGCAGCAATAGCATGCAGGTCAATGTAGTAATGAATACCAGCTTTAGGCATTAAATGTCGGCTTTTCAAGCAGAAGTAAATCACACTCCAAAATGAACATAAGGAATCCAATGTAACGGGCTGATCTCGTCGTCACAAGCAATAACATCTCTCAGTCTTCGATCTCCATCAGTTGCACTCCTTGCTAACGAGCTCATCGCCTTGTTTCGCCGTTTATCCCGTAGCTGTCGAGCTGCGTTGTGAAGACCCCAACATGCCGATTCATCTGTCATAGATCCATCCCTCATACCTTCGTAGGTGTTCCTCGCCTGTCTACACATAGCTCATCACTGACCTCCCATAAAGTATCGATGACATGCCGAAAGCCTGCCAACTGACAGGCGCTGATTAAATGGATATTCTCATCAACAAACCTCTTGTCCTTCATCCGTCCGGTTCCACAGGCATAGAGTAGGCGAGGAAGGGCAAATACTCTCGGAGATTTACCTTAAGAAGGTTTGCGACTGTCAGAGGATTATCCTTTCCATCTTGTAGAATCAGAGGGCTTCTCATTGGATCGTGAGCGTCTGTATGGCCATGTCCAGCGAAATGAAACACCTTACATTGCGGCAAGAGTGCCATGACGTCATGTTCGTGACGTCCTGGCTCAATGGCTTCCAGATGCATCGTTTTGACCAAGTCACGAATCACCTTTATTTCTCTGGCTGCAAAGGTAAGACTGGCCTGTTCCGGTGTATGTTTCATAGCGACCAGAAGAGCCTGGCTCGGGCCTGGCGTAGCATCTCCAACACCACGTCGTCGACTCCGTATTATTGTCTTGATAGAGGGGCTATACGATGACATGACCCTGTCTAGAACGCTGGCGGACGCATCTTTATGGCGTCCAGCGGCATGAAAGGGGAATTTGGTCATGGTGCTTGTAGCAACCCACCAAATTCGCGGCCATTTCTCAAGCGACGATTTGTGACGTTGAGCGAAGCCCAATGCGCTCAGGATCGGATGAGCAACTGTATCCCAGAGCCATTCTAGAGTTTCCATCTTCTCCGGGTCGCGAATCTGCGCTTCGTTCTCCGTGTTGTTGGGCAACGGCACGGATCGTATCTGGTGCTGCTCCACGAGTATAGCATCGCAGCGGTACTCACTCATATTGAGGACTATGATGGGACCATGCTTCGCAGCAGCCATCAATTCCGTTTCTCTAAAGCAGTCCAAGAAGTCTTCAAATCCAGGCTGTCGTTTGATCTCGGCGTTCAAGTCATCGAGTTTGTTGCCTACAACATAGCGCCGAGATACTCGAGCATGCTGATCAAAACCGCCGTCAGCGTGAAAGGTATCACTGGCGGGTCTAACTCGTCTCAAAGAGCGGCGAATATCTTGGACGGACCGGGATACCTAGCCTGTAGCTCTATAACATCCGTCGCATCTCCTCAAGCACCGTTGCAAGCACCTCGCGGCCCTGCTCGAGTAACTTCAGCCCAGCGACCAGGCCTCTGCCAATATGTAGAGCAGGCTGCGGATTGGAAGCTATACCGGCGGCCTGACCGAGTAGAGGCTGTTTGTCGGGGCTCTCGAGCGATCTCACTCTCAGTTTTGGTATGAGACTGACAGCCAGTTCTAATCGCACACTTGTTCCCAGTCCCAAGTGGTGCTGCAGACCTAAAGAATTGCTATACCGGCTACTTTCCAATCGATTATGGGGTGCTTTGGTCCACAGAGGGCTGTTTGGAACTGAGAGAGGGCCTCTTCTTGATCCGAATAGTTCCCTGTTCTCGCATGCCTGTGGTCGAGGCTGGTTTCGAGGTTCACGTGATGCCTAGCCCTGTCGGGATGACTCTGGTGCTTTACTGGCAGCCTTATGCAAAGCTCGGATAGCCTCGTCAAGATCGCTGCTCATATCTGTCTTTTATATCTCTCCATGGGCTATATACCGAGACTATTTAGATATATAGGCCTTGTTGTGTGGACACGTGGTGTTACTTCAACAGCTACACTAGCCGCATCGATGATATCGTCGATATCTGATGTCGAGTCTGCGCCCTCCCTATCTCCAAGTTGAATCGCAAGACCGTTTAGATACGTTGCCCTATTAGGGTAACCGTTTGGCATTACAGTCACTGCTTCCATACTCGAATAGCCTCATCAAGATTAGCCAGGGACCTCATCCTGGTGTTAATTAATAGTTAAAGCTTATAATATCTTAATAAGATATATTAAATTAATATATTAAAAAATACTAATTAACTTCAAGCTTTTAAAAGTAATATATATATAATCTTTATAAAAATAAGTTTTTTAATTAAAATTAAAATAATATATTTCTATAATAACTTAATTAATAAGCTTATTAATAGCTATTAAAGTATAAAAAGCTAGTTTAAATTTAATCTTTTATTACTAAAAGTAGAAAAAGTTTTTATATAAAAAAAATATATAAACTGTAAAAAAACAACTCTTTTTAATAAAAAGATTGCTTTTTAAATACCTGCTAACTATTCCCTATTCTAGTAGAATTACAAGAACTATTAGCCCTTTATAGACCTATCTAATAGAGACTGTGCCTTCCTCTGGATTTATGTTATGCTTATTATTAAGGGATGAATCAAGATTATGTAGATCTAATGTTCTACTTTGGCTGATCTTGGTCGCCATCTAAAGCGCTCGCCTTGTCGTCTCAATGGGACTTTAAAACTCGACTATCGCACCCACTAAGTTATATCTAGCTACTAGTAGGACAGAGAGTCTATTCGAGACCTTTGCCTTGTCAAGGCGACTCTCTGGCATTATATTAACCAGTTGGTGTAGAGTCCGAATAGAGTCATCCAGATAGCCTTTCACCCCCCTTACACGATACTTGTCATCAAGGCGGTTGCCAAGGTTGAGTAGGCAAGTAGCTTTCGTGGCGAGATTGACCGACAATAGGCTGATTGCTTGCATTATGACTTCAATGGTGTTTTCAACGTCTGTAGTGTCTCCTATCGTTAACTAAACTCTAGCTATATAACTATAAATATTAATACTTATTTTAAATCTTGCTTAATAAAGCCCCTTTACTCTTAAATAAGTGGATAATGTTAGTCTGGCTATGAGTATGGTTATCCAGAAAATCGTTAACAAGACAGGCAGCATCCTCTGGAAACTGGTAATGACACGCATGGCCTGCCCCTAGGAATTCACCTACAACCGCTGCTGTCCTACACATCTGAGCCGCGACGATGTCGCACATTGTTCGAGTAAAGAAATGATCGTGTGTACCTTGAGATTCGTTAGCTTACTTACAATGCTTGTTTCCTTACAGCTATGTCACGAAAGCCCAGTCACTACAGCTGTATTATTTAGGACTTATCCCTCATAATTAAAACAGGCATCTGTAGCTCATGTAGCCTGTTAAAAGATCCATCTCCAGCATGATCAGGATTCATAAACCTGGCAAATGCTGTGAATTGTCGTCGTCCACCCTCAATGTCCACAAACGCACCGGCTCCTCCGCCCTGGTTAAAGGTTCGCTGCCAGGCTGCTTCAGCCGCCTGGCGACCCTCTGTTGAAGATGGAAAGCACCCCTCTTTAAAAGCCTTTTCCTGCTCTTCGAATGTAGCGGCGTTTCGGTAAGGCCGGAAAGGCGCTGGCGGTGGTGGTGTAATGCCCGGGCCTATACTTGGCAGAGATCCACACAAGATCAGATGGTGGACGAGATCCGGATGGTTTAAAGCTACCATTTGTGCTGTACATCCGCCCATTGAGAATGCCCAGATATCTACCTTGCTAAAGCCGAGGCTTTTCACAAACTCGGCGAGATACTCTGCTGATTCCTTGGGCGAGCTTGGAATCTGACCTCCAGATCTACCAACCCCAGGGCCATCAAACAGAATTACCTGTCGTTTCATGGCCAGGTGCTTGATAAATAACGGATCCTCGCAATCCATTGTTGCTCTAATAAACAATTTATTAGAATGCTAAAGTGTAACGGAGAGCTTGGTAAGACCTACCTAAATCCCGGAAGATGAACCAGAGGCGTACCTGTCTTAGAACCATGAATTCGAAACGCGATGGTTATGTTCTTAACTGTAATGAATTGATCGCTAGCGCTTGCAATGTCATTCATGATGCATGTTTATCGCTCTTGGTTAATTTAAGAAAATCTTGTAATTTTCAATACAGAATGATATTATAGTTCTTTCCTGTCTACTTTATATTAGGAACTTTAATGTACTTATCTTCCTAGCCGATTTAAAAATGCCTTAAAGAAGCTTTCTTATCATCAACCCGAGCTAGTATTAAATCACGCCAAAGCTTATTTTCATCCAGTTAATGCTTAGGGATCGGCGATAAAATTAAAAAGCATAAGTCCTCGCCCTTCAATTGCCTACTTTTTAGAACATTGCATAGGGCAGGCAGGTTTAAAACCGTAAGGTGGCAACACAAACGCCCTTGCGATGCAGGGCGTATGTTTGTTGACAAGCCCGAAGGGTTTAAATTGACCTTGTCGTTTAGAATCTCAGGGCTATTTATTAAAGTGACTATCTCTAGAGATTTTAATGGTCTTAAATATGCCCCTATTGTTAATACTCTGATACAGTGCTACCTACCTTTCTGCACCCAGTGCCACAAGTTCAATAATTCTTTTTATTTCATCCTTCCAACAAATTCCTAATCAACATGAAGTCTAAGGTCTACCCAGAAGATGAGAAAATACATCCCAGTATTATAGCACTAAAGAAGACGATCCCTCCCGGCTGCTTTCATCCCAGAGCCCACACATCCTGTTATTATATTCTTCGGGACTTGATGTATATTGTGATCCTTGCTTACACCGCATTGAGTTTCATACCCTCTTCACATTCTTTTCTTTCTTTTTCTTCTCTCGCCTGGACGATTTATGCCTTCACACAAGGTCTCGTCTGCACAGGTATATGGGTTCTGGGCCATGAATGTGGTCACGGAGCTCTCTTCTCTTCCCCATGCTTCAATAACCTCGTCGGGTTCATTCTGCACTCATTTCTTCTTGTGCCTTACTTCTCATGGAAGTTCACCCATCTAAGGCATCACCAGTTCACTGGGCATGCTACAAGAGATACCGCATTTGCACCACCATTACTGAAGCCGCTTGATGCTAACCCTGGTCTGACCATGAAGCTATTGAGTAGTTGCGAAGATGTACCAATCTTGCAGCTTGCTTCTCTTGTTACACATCAGCTTGTTGGGTGGCCTCTATATCTACTCTTCAATGTCTCGGCCGGTAGTGAAAGCCGCCTACGTGAAGTCTCTGCTTTCAAGTGGCTAGAGTTGTGCCATTTTAATCCCTGGGCCGCCATTTTCAGATTGAGCGAGGCACCATATGTCATCATTTCTGATATCGGCATCCTGTCGATGTTAGGTATTATATATAAAACTGTTCAGATCTTCGGGGTTTCGAAAGTTATTTTGGTCTATTTCGCACCATATCTATGGGTTAACTATTGGCTCGGTATGCTTGTCACACAATCTCTCATAGGCTTCCTAAAGTGCATAAGCTGACCCAAACCCAGTTGCCATCACCTTTTTGCAACATCATCATAAAGATGTACCGCATTACAATAACGAAGGATGGACATTTATGAAAGGGGCTCTTACGACTATTGATAGAGACCTAGGGTTCATCGGATCTCATCTGTTCCACAACATCACTAATGCATATGTTGTCCACCATCTGTTTCCGTAAGTATAATTAGAGCCTTACTGAGATGTCGAGATCTGCTCATTATTATCAATAGAAAGATACCCTTCTACAACGCACCCCGAGCTACTGCAGCCATAATACCCGTCCTGGGCGACTCATATCGGTCAGACAATACGAACTTTCACTACCAACTGTATTTTCAATTCTGCAACTTGAAATACGTCGAGCAAGATCCAGAACATCCGGGTAGAATTAGATGAGCAGCTTGACTTTGCTCATGCCGTCATGTCGGTTTTACGCCTTCTGAGACATCCAGAACCAAGGGAGCCATAGGCAATGTATTTCAACACTGGTGTCCGATGTCATTGTCAAGCATGGACCAGTCAAGACTCGATAGCTCAAAACATATCTCAGGTACTAATGAATTTGGCTCGATCTTCTCTGTCAGTAATGATCCGCTTTATTTACAACTTGCCTGTACTGTTAAAGAACTTGCTGTATTAGCCGTATTATTTCCATCTTACCACCTTAGGTAAGATGCAGTAACATTTTTTATCATAAGGCTATATTGTGATTGCGAAAAACAATACCAACAGTAAACACGTCTTAAACGACTGCCCTGAGACCCTGCAGTTAAAATAGCAATAGTCTAAGAACAGTTTAGTTAGATGGCCCTGTGGTATAGGTAATTAAAAGATTAAAACTATTATAATTCTAAACTCTTAACTATAAACTTAAGGTTAGTGGCTGCTAATGTATTTATCAATACCACTTTAGTCCTTATTGAGGTCAGGATATGTTAAGATTTACTTCGCCCTTAAGGACCTTTTCCCGAATCTGTCTAACATATACCTTCCTTATAAAGCATTACTTTTCTTTCTATTTCTATCTAACTTCCGAGCCCAGCCTTGAGAAGGCTTATAGCTATTGTGGCTTCTAAATGCACACTATTGGGCGATTGTGAGTATTAAGTAGGCAGCGCAGTCTTACTTACTAATATTTCTTTAAAAATACCTCCTTAAGAGCCAAATTCGCCACCATCCTTAAGTGGTTCTATAGCTGAGTTTTTATAAAACACTAACTGTAATAATTAACTTTCGGAATTCTCTTCCAGGCATCACCAATCATGAATTTGGCGTTAAAGAGGTTCTTTGTCCCTTTGTAAAAGGAAAAGGTCAGCTGTTTTATGATATATGGTATGGTTTCTCTCTTAGTCACTTTCTTACCTAACATAATTTGTGGACGAACCTAGAGACGGTAGGAAAGACTATCCTGTCAGGCGTAATGCCTAGTAGAGGGCCAGGCGTGACCGCGCCTGACCCTCCGGCTTTTGCAGGCTCCTGATCCAGAGGAGCCTGGAGTCACTATAAGTCCTTAATATCTTAATAAAGATCTTAAAGCTTAGCTAATATTAAGGTAATCCTTTCGATAGTCAGCACTAATATATATCAGCCGCCACGATATGTAGATATAGTTGATAGAGGAAACGGCTCTTTCCATAAATAGGCGCAAGATATAAAAGCGTATGTTTCTACCAGCTCATAGAATCCAGGGAGGCGAGTTAAAGAAGGTCAAGGCTATTTTAGTCCATAGGAAAAGCCACGCAAGTTCTGGTAGCCATCTATGCTGCCTTTCGTCTAATTGTTCTCAATGATGCTCACAGATAAACCAATCAGTCAAGTGCTTCAACAACCTCACGAGCACCTCGAATACCAGATCTAATAGCCCCTTCCATGTACCCCTTCCAAACAATAGAGGTCTCCGTTCCGATAAAGTGAATGTTCCTAAAGGGATCACGAATCGACTTGCCAGCACCAGTCAGAAGTCCAGGCGTCATCACAGGGCTAGGGCCGCCCAAAAACCAAGGATCCTTTAGCCAGTCCTTCTCGATGATGTTGACAGGTTTAGGGATCTCATCAACTACGGTACCAAAAGCGTCGTTGAACTGCTTCAGTACTGTATCTTTTCGTTCCTGTTCAGATAGCTTAGACCACTCTCGCCCAGGCTGACCGACGTGGAAGCAAGTAATGCTATACTGCTTATCCTCAGGAACGCAGGTATCACGGGTGAATGAGATGAGACCATCCATAGATGTCAGTACACCAGAAAGATTGGCATTACGCCACCAGGGTTCATCAAACACCAAGATAGACTTTGAGTAATAGCCGAGTTTAGTAGAGTCAGCAATCTCTCTCTTGGCCAGCGGAAGGTGAGGCTTAAAGTCGATTTTGGGGTAGAGGGATGTCGGAACCGAAAGGATTACTTTCTTAGAATGGTATTTGTCACCGTTCTCCGTTTTGACAGTGCATCCCTTCTTGTTTTGGATGATCTTGACCACGGGCGAGTTGAGCTTAATTTTCTTCTTGTCGAGTTTGGCAGCTAGCTTGACTGCGAACATCTCATTACCTAGTCTATTAGTTTTAGCTCATGTCAGAGACATTGGACTCACCCTGGCGATTACGCAGATATTGGCCTCCATCCTTGGTGTCGGACGATATATTTGCCAGACCAGTTCCGCTCTTGATGTAGTTGATGAGGAACAAGGCACTGAGCTCGCCCGGTTCGACACCCAGAAGATCGCGCGCTAGTATTGTCACAAGAACCTCGGCGATGCCCTCCCCGAATTCATTGCTGGCAAAGTCTAACGCTGTCATGGCGTCAAGCTTCTTGGCTTCTGGCCCGAGATGAGGATGTTCAAGGCTGGATCGATCAACATATTCTTGCAGCTTCGCCATGATTGCAAGAATCTCAGCGAGTTGCTCATCAGTAAACTTCAAGGTCAGTCGAGTCCATACAAACTGGAGTGAACTTACATTTCCAAACTGTCCATAGGGAATGGCATGCGTAGTTCCGTTCGACTGGTCGAGTGACAGTCCTTCGGTGCGCTGGACGATAAGCTCGAAGCCAAAGTCTTGAGCCAAGGCGTACATCTCTTTCTGGTTGCTGTCATTTATCCACGCAGCACCCAGATCGACCAGTCCATCGCTTTTGGGAGACGCCGGGGCAGAGAGAGTTTTGCCACCGACCCGATCATTGGCTTCGAGGACGATGTAAGAGAGGCCAGCCTTGTCGAGGTCTACAGCTGCTTGGAGGCCACTGAGGCCAGCGCCAATAACAATAACATCAACAAAAGGAGTAGGGATCATTTTAATAGCACTTTCAGTTCTGTTGAATTCGGATTGTTGAGAGATTCGGCCGCGATCTATATATGCTGAGACATATCATCTTGTCTGACGTATCGGGTTGAATCCGCGAGGTTTCCGTCGCCTCATTGAAAATGGTGGCCGCGGGATACATCTTGGCTATACCGAGTTGTCCGCGGTTCCCGAATGCGAGTGATCATCATCAGACCACGAAATCTCATGTCAGCAACTCGCTCTTTTGTCCCGTTTAGGAAGTGGATTTGCCAGTACGATAGCACCAATCAAAATAACATCCATTTCACGGGGGCCAATCATAGTAGGGGTCCAGAAAGTATGACAAACGTAACAGAACAGTTGATGGCCGAAACAAGAAATCGACATAACGTTAAAAACATGCTTATTGCACGCTATACAAAGATCTCCGAATTATTAAAGGTACACGTAGTGCATGGATCTATTAAGTGGGGGTGATGATAGTAAAGTTATACTTGTATACGGCTTGTTAATGTTTTAATAAGCGTTCTATAAGGTACCCTCAATACCTTGTCCACCACTGTTTCAGGGAAAGCACCGGAAGTCCACGGGGTCAAAGTGACTTGGGCTGTGTTTCCGTGTCGTGAGACTCACTTATCGTCAAATCCCTAACGACCCATTCATCCGGGATGTGTATTTGGCTGATATCGATATCGTTGAAAAGACTGCCGGCATCAAATAGTCCCACTGTTGATAATGGATCGTCAAAAGTTGGTATTGCCATAGGCGCCGGGCCATATCCAAAGTCTGGGGCTAGATCCCAGGTTTCTGTTGGGTTCGGGGGACCCTGTAAGAGGGTTTCTGGCAAAGAATCCAGTATTGAAGGGTTCCATGTATCAAGCACGTCGCTAGAGGTCCAGGTACTCGGTATACCAAGATTCGACGTCGAAACTGGGTCCATGGTTTCGGCTACATCGTGAGAAGGTGTTGAACTCGGGGCACAGCATGAACGAGCTGGTGTTGGGGAAGTCTCTGTAGTCCTGTCCTCAGATTCGGAAGGCGACAAGGCAGTTGACGGTGTTATACTGTTGTCTGTTGAGAGTGGCGACTGAACGCGCTTCCTATTTCTGCGATCTGTCTTGTGTGCACATTTGCAGGTTTCGCCCTCATCGCACTGGCATCGCTCTGAGACGGAACACAGTTAGTATGAACTCTGGTGAGATAGCCCAGAAGGGAGCAAACCTTGTCCAAACTCCTTTAGCATGGCCTGATGTGATGCCGATGCGCATTTGCATTTCGTATGAACAGATCGGGAGTTACGTAGGGTCCTACAGTGATTGCACTGAGAGACTGGACGTCCTTTTCTACTGACTGTGAGAAGCGGGCGGTCTGTCCATCGTGTTATCATGAGTATGTCATGGAAGGTGATCCCTGCCACCTCGTCTTACTTACCTGTATGCTGACATTTAGCGACGCGGTGGCCACGAATACAGCTTTCGCAAGCCAGCTTCTCTGCGGTGGAAGCCATGCCGAGAGAATCTTGATAAGACACAGTACAGTAAATTAGGGAAAGATAGAAGTCAGGTATAACACAGCCTTGAGAAAAGAATGAAGTGGAGATTGATTTCGTAAATGACACCTGGAAAAAGCCTACATCCGATACCGGGGATATGTAGTCAAAGGGTATACAAGATGGCCAATTATACCCATTTTTCAGAAGCCATAAACCGTAAGAAGAGGGGCTGTTCTGATATTGACCTAGTCGAGTCAGTTGCTTGCCGATATTTACTGCCCAGCTATATATTTATCTAAATGATTATTTATCAAATATAAATTTGGCATGTTCTTAAACCTCGATTAATTCACATCTATAAGTAATCTAAGCGATAATCTGCTGTTCTACTCTGTAGGTAGATCTGCTATTATTGGCGATGAAATTTCAGAGCCCTAATTGGCAAGTAGGTTGTAGGTGCGGGGTAGTAAGACACGTTGGTCACCTATCAGCTACGCCTTCAGTGCCAAAGCATACGATATTATCGTGTTCTAGACTCAACTTCTGGTATCTGTAGTATGTTGGTGTTTTTAATAGTGGCTGGCTGAATGACTGTGGACGGTTTTAGCGCTACGCTATACCAGATCAGAAATCAGCTGCATCACCTTTTTGAGGCAATATTGTCACATGGTAATTAGATTCAATAGCTCTATCAATAGCTTTATCCCAAGTTTGACATATAAATTACCCAGGCTCCCCATTATATCACTCCTATCTTCCTTTAGACTTTTCCTTCAAGTTGGCAGTTTTACAGTACCCGTTATACGTCCTCGATAAGCCTAAGCCCGCAACTATGTCAAACCTATACATACTCAATATCATCAATCAATCCGGCGAAGAAGCCGATTACTCCATTGACTGTGTGTATGAAGATATACCCCCTGTTACGATCCGGGACAGAGACAACTGGATGACGGTCTTGAACCTCAACCAGCACTACAGTGAGCACTGCGCTACTGACCTCGTATTGAATTAGCTAACCTGCCCCCAAGTTCCCATCACGGTTTCGGTGCTTCCGCAAGGCGATTCCCCATCTGTTAGTTTCGTTCTGGCTAAGAACGGACAAGGTGTAAGGGGAGACGTAGTACATAGTCCTGGGAATCAACTGACAATTGATGTTGGAAATAACATTGGAACTCCTTTGTAAGACTATCTCATGACAGTGATGGCTTAGCATATTGTCTGAATGTATTTATTTGTGTTCTTTGTGTCTGACGAGCTAGAGAACCCCTGCTGAACTGTGGACTTTTATGGAAGGAGATATTCGTTAACCTTCTCAGCAAAATGTTTTAAACCCCTCTAAAAGTGAAAATTACTATTACTTTAATATTATATATAAAGGCAAATAAAGAATAACCTCGACTACGCTTATCACTATATAACTCTTGTCTGCAACTCGACGTAGGTCATTATCTCCTATCTTACCCTGTATTGCGCTATTAGGATTGGTGCCAGGACCCCTGTTAGAAGAGTGACGCAGAGCCGACGCGAGGCGCATATTGACGGCACAGTAATTATGTGGCTCACAAGCAATTGAAACGAATGACGCATTCAATATTGGCATTCACATATCTATCAAGACTACTCTACTTTAAGCAACCTTGGAGATCTTGAATCCACCAGGCAGTCTAGTTTGGAATACTCCCTTAGGGTCATACTTCTTAGCAACCTTGCGAATGAACTCAAGATTCTTAGGTCCATAGGTAGACAGAGGATCCTGGGTAAAGTCGGCGTAGTTGAGATACTCCCAATCGACAGCAGCGCCCTGGTCAATGCTATACTGCTTCATCATCTTGCGGAAGCGAACCATACGCTCACGAGCAATTTTCTCTTGCTCGACGCCGTTGATCATCAGCTGGACCTGGAACATGACAGCGTTATCCTTCTCGCGGTCAAGACCGACGACGTTGCCGCCTCGCTCGAGGGAGTGCTTGGAGAAGATGGTAGGGATGGCCTGGAAGATGGCGTGGCAGATAAAGTCGCCGTCGGGGGATTGAGCCTTCCAGTCGCTGACGAATTGCTTGTGCAACTCTAGAGCCTTCTTGTACAAGCCGAGTTTGTTCTTGAAGGTGATGGCGAACCAGACGTTGCTAGCAATGTCAGTATAGACTTGACAGACAAGGGCTGGGACTTACCGGTATCCAGCGACAAGCTCAAGCTCAATCGTCATGTTGCGATGAGTATCCTTGCGCAGGTTGGAGGTCTCATAAGGAATCTTCCAGAACTCGTCCAAGGCCTTTGGCGCAACAGCACCAGTGGTATCCTCGTACGACACAGTGATGCCAATCTTTCCATTCTGAGGAGTATAGCTCCAGAAAGGAATGACTGATCCATCCTGATAGTTGACGATATTATCGGTCCAGTCCTTGTAGGCCTGGACGTGCGCATCGGTTGTTTCTTCGGCTGAGTAGGTGACTAGGCCACCCCAGAGGAGAGGAGCGTCGAAGGCCTGGACGTCGAAGCGGGTGACGATACCGAAGTTGGCTGAGCCGCCCTTGAGGGCCTTCCATAGATCGGCGTTGTTGTCCTTGTTGGCATTGACGATGCGTCTATGAAACATTAGTAGACGTCGTTATAGCGTGCGTGCACATACCCGTCGCCGAGGACAACCTCGAAATTGACGACCTGGTCGCAGCCAAAACCCCGACGGGCAGTATAAAAGGTATTGCCACCGCCCGTCAAGAAGCCAGCGACACCGACAGTCGAAGTGCGACCGCCTGCAGCAGTAGCACCGTATGGCTCAAGGGCGCCATAGACATCCCGCCAGATGGAACCAGCCTGGATTTGAGCAACCTTTGTGTTCTTGACATACGTGGTCTTGTTCATCAATCCTGTGCATGTTAGTTGTTTCACGTTGAACCAATCGCAGAAGCAACTCACCCATGTCAATAGTGACACCATCGTTGACTGCACGCAATTAGACAAACTCAATCAAGCGAGGACCAAACTCACTGTTATTCGCCGCCCAAACGGTGTGTCCACCGCTTCGAATCGCGAAATTACACTTCGTGTCAGATGTCAAGGTCTTGATAATCGTAGATACATCCTTGGCACTCTCGGGCTGAACGATGCAGTAGGGCTCCAGCTGCGACGACACGGAAAAGTACGACTCAGTGCGGGTCTTGTAGCCGTTACTATTGGGGTAGTAGACGTGCTTCAGACCCTTTGCTTCAAGTGAGGCACACTGAAACACGAGAGGTCAGTGACATTTTCTCAATGTGACAGAAATAGCTTACGCAAGTCTCCATTGCTACGGCGGGTGAAGCAGCGAGGAGGGCTGATGCCCAAGCCAAGACTGAGGCGCTCGTCTTCATGATTGCGATGAAACGGGCTTATGGGATGTCACCTTGAGGGGGAGAGAAGATCTGAGAGGACAAGTCTGTGCGGGAACTTGGGTACCTTTTGTTGATGGGCAAGATCGTCTTGTGCAGAAGCGGCTGAGGAAGCGGCTGGTTCGTGGACCCTGGTTCATGGGGGAAAATCACGCAGATGGAGTCGAATGCTTGGGGGAAGGGGGGAATGCGATTGGTTCGTCAGATGGGCTGGAGGTTGGATTTGGTAAGGGATTCATGGCATTACTCGATTATGCATGTTGGCTGATCCTGCATAGATGATCTTGATCGTTTTCGGCCATGACCCCGGGATTAACATGGTTCATCCATAGGTGAGCAGGCAGACGGGCAAGGTAACGGCAGGGCATCTGCTAGACAGTATGAATAACAGTACAAGACGGAACCAGTTGGTAGAGGTTATCTGATCGACAATGCTTTGATGTCTTCACAATAGTCACCACTTCATCTCTGTCTGTCTAGATTGACGAGATGTCAGTGCTAAATCAAGCTTAAGCTCAATCGATGTCATGCTCGACCCTAAAGCTAGCTCCAAGTCTGCGCCGACAGTGGATTAACGACATTCTAAATAGATACGACCCAAAGTCTCGGTGAACTCGAGGTCAAGGTTTTCAGGGGAACCATTGTTCCCTCAATCAGCGGCACATGCATTCTGCAACCCTCAGGGGATATAGCCCAGCGTTACATCGGCAGTTGGGGCTGACGGCTCGTAAGCAACCGTAAAAGGCGGGGATTATGACGATCGCTTGATCTCGAGTCATGACCCTTGTTCACAGCCCGTTACAGCGCGGAATTACCGTGTGAACAGACCAGCCAAGACCTGTATTTTGCGGGACGTTAAACTGGCCGACCAAATCAATTTCTACGAGTCTAGACTTGTTGTGGAAGGCCGGCATAACTAACCCTCTCTACCCGAACGGCCCGTCAAGTTTGACGTTTTATTTTTCCCTCTAATTTCGCCTGACGTTTCCCCAATAATTAAGGTTCAACCCCAGTAACTTTCTCTGTCGTCTCTTCTCTCACAAATTCCGTAGGGAATATGCCCCTTTGCGTAGTGATCATCAATTCACCTTCACTGTATATCAGTAGACGATGTGACTTGAAAGATTTGCACGACTTGATGCCCAAATGACACCTAACGATTTTGCGTCTCATTATTTTCCATTTCATGCCGTCATGTCGTTCTGAGTTGCACTACGAGAATTAACTCTCGGCTTATTGAAAGTCTGTTACAATGTCGTTTCCTGTCGTCGATGGTGTCGAGGTTGCGGTGCCGCCTCCGTCGGGGTACAGAGTTGACTTTGAGAACCCGCTGACTGATGCGTCGATGGTGAGGAATGCGTATTGGATTTTTGGGCTGGAGTTTGCGATAGCGACGGCGTTTTTGGGGCAGCGGATGTATACGAATGCAGTGATTTTGCGAAAATTCTTGATTGACGACTGTGAGTTCATCATGCTCTTTGCTCGGAATTACGCTAATTGATTACAGATTTAATTCTTTTCGCTTGGGTACGAGAACGACCTGCTTCAATGACGTTTACTAACCATCTAGGTCCTTTCCATTGCGGCTCAATCATGTCTTCTCAATGCATACAGTCGCAAACTACTCGGCGTCCACGCATGGGAGATGCCAATCGACAGCAACACCCAAGCTAACCTGCTGGTCATGTGTACAACACTGACATACATCCCGACGACTATCCTCTCCAAGCTGACGCTCTGCTTCTTCTACTACCGCCTCTCGCCGTCTCTATGGTACCAATACTCAGTCTACTTCACCGGCTTCCTCTGCAGTGCTAGTCTCGTCGGCATCTGGTTCAGTGTTTTGTTTGCCTGCAAGCCTATCGCTGCGGGATGGGATGTGAGGATGTCGGTTGGAGCTACTTGCATCAATCGTCCTCCCATCTACATCACCCAGGCTGCCTTTGGTTGCATCACTGATGTCATGCTGCTGGTGTTGCCTATTCCCACTGTTATCGGTCTACAAATGTCTACTCGACAAAAGCTTGGTCTCGTTGGTCTCTTTGCTATCGGTTCCATTACTCTCATCACATCCATTGTCCGACTGGTTCTTCTTCTGCCGAGCTTGTCAAATCCCGACCAGAGTTGGTCACTGGCAGAAGGTTGCCTCTGGGTGTAAGTCCCCAACCCTTTTTCGAATAACTCATCTAACACAAACAGCATCATTGAAGCCAATCTACTCATTATGTGCGGCTCCCTCCCAACCCTTCGCGTCTTTCTCAAGAACGTCGCCCCTCGAGTCCTTGGCGACAAGAGCACCCGCAAAGGCAGCGAAGAGCAAAGTGGAAGCGCCAACTTTGGCCTCCATACTTTTGGCGGTTCAAATGGTCCGCGACGCAAGTTTGATACGCTCGTGGAGCTGGAACATGATACTCACTTCAATAGAGTGAGCTTGCGCCCTGAAGGGATGGGTAAGACGGACGTAAACATCTACAGTGGACGGTCGGATGAGTCTTTGGAGAATAACCCCACTGGGGATAATGATAGCGAGGACGGGATACTGCAGACACGTACTACGACTGTTCAGTATACGAATATGTAGCCTATGTTGAAAAGTAATCGTAATTGAATTGGACCCCATTCATCGGCATATTTTACTTTTCAGTCAAAAGCAAGACTTTAGGCAACATAAGGGCAACGATTACTGCCCGTGTGTATTGGGGTTCTTTGTCTTTGTGTCTTGAGGCTGAAACCTCTGTTAGACTCTCAAGCTTATCATTAAGTTAGGCCCGTACTGATTAGGCTTATCTAAAGTGGACACTTTATCTTATCTGTTGGCGGGTCAACCTTAGATTGGCGACCTGAAGTTGATCAGCAGCTGAAACTCATATTAACTAAAGTTCACAGTACAACCGCAGTATAATCATCAGTCAACATGTCAAACACGCGCATTCAGATCGACCCTGAGGGCGACACTCTCATAATTCTACCAGTCAAGCCTGCTTCTACTGAATCTGAGACCCCAGACTCCCCCACCGAGAAACATTACCTCTGCTCCAAGAAGCATCTAACCCTTGCCTGCCGGCGGGCAGCAAAACTCTTCTCAAGCCAATTCAAAGAAGCCTCAGCCGAGCCAGACGGCTTATATCACTGGAAATTCGAGGGCATCTTCAACGCCGAAGCATTCGAGCTCGTTCTGAGGATCATCCATGGCAAAACACGTGATGTCCCCCGCAGTGTCAAGCTGGATCTATTAGCCGACATCGCGACGATCGTTGACGATCTGGAGTGCTACGAGGCTGTAGCGTTTTTCAGCACAAACTGGCTCTTTGGGTGGACCGTTGAATGGCTTAGCACTGAACAGTTGAGGGACAAGCGATTGGCTCAGGTGATCCTTGCATCCTTTGTCTTTGAGCACGAATCGCTTTTTCAGACCTACACAAAAATGGCCATAAGACACAATATCGATGTCACATCGACTTATGATCTGCCTATCCGGGCAGATGTTTCTGGTATGTTGGCTAGTACAAGTACATGACCGCAACTGACGTTGAAGACAAAATTGAAAGCACCAGAATCGAAATTTTGCAGCGTCTTGTTGATGGGTTGGAGGGCCTTCAGACCAAGATCCTCGCAGACAAGGTGGGCTGCAATGAAGCATGCCGAGCCATGCTTCTGGGGAGTTTGTTGCAAGGAATGAAGAAGTCGGGGATATACCCCTGCCCGCCATCGCCTTTCCCTAAGCTATCCCTCGACGTTGTACTCGCATCGCTGGTGAACGTGCAGTCGCCAGCCTATTTCGGACCGCAAAACCAAGGGCCTCTCCTGAATTATTCCGGCAGATGGAACCTTGATCCCACATCTGCGAGCGTCGTGTCAGGGGGTCTTCTCGGATATCAATCTGGTCTTGTTCAGGGACAGCCAAAGCCTGCACCAGCTGGGACCAATACTTTCTCTGCATCAACACCTCAGCAAACTGCCGGCGCCGGTGGGACTACTCAGCCCTCCGGTGGTCTATTTGGTAATAGAAATGCGCCTCAAAACACCAATACTCGACCGCCGTTCAATTTTGGGCGTCCCTCTTCTGGTGATATCCCTGGTACATCTTCTGTGTCTCAGAACACCAGCAGTCCTCAACCATTTTCTCAATCTGGAACTAAAGGTTTATTTGGCAACAGTGGTTCTAATACTCAGATCACTCCCTTGACGGCAGAGAGCCCAGACCAGCCTCAAACTATCGTGAGGCATCACTGCCGTTTGAAGGACCTTATTGAACCCTTGTTAGTGGCAGCTGAAAAGGAAATTACAGGACTGAAACTTGCAGACTTCCCTCGACCGTAGTGAGAGAATAGCCATGCAAAGAGTTTAGCCTGCAGCACATGATGGGTTCTGACTACACGAACCTTTTTTAGTTTCTCTACTGTTCCAACAAAGATGGGGTGAATTGTGCCTACAAGCTTATGTTAATGCGTCTACTTCTGTCTTAAAAGATAAGCATAAATCATTAAATAGCTATCCAAGTTTACGTAAAAGCAGCCCCATCCCTGCCAAGGGCCCAATCAACCAAAAGCTCAGGATTATCTTCAATCTCCTCTCTACAAACCATTAACCTCTTCCATTTTTCTTCAATAGCATCAGATCGACGAACCCATTTGTCGTAAAGACCATCAAGAACCCGATACTGCGGATTCTCGGCATCGCTCTCTTTCGCCCGGTCCAAGAGATCTTTCCATTGCCTGCGACGGGTGTTGACAAGGTCAAGATCCTCACGGGTCAAGCCCGAATCTACACCTAGGATAATCCTCGGCGTCTGCTCAAGGAGGACTCCCCATTCCTCCGCCTCGGCTAGTGGAAGGTGGTAGACCGGCGTGTAGTACTGGGTGTTGAGATGGTGAAATAGCTGTGATACATAGAGACTAAGTCTCTTGTCGAGGAGAGCCAAAATCCATTTCTTCAAAGTTTTGGCAAGTTGTCCACGGCCTCTGGTGTTAGCAAGGCACTTGTTGCAGAAGTTCTTGTCATGCTCCTTTCCCGGTAACTCTGCTTCCTCAGCTATACCATTTCTCCATCCCCAACGGTGTCCTTCCAGGCGAAAAGACCGGATCTCTTGCCAGCGCTCGCATCTGCTGCATCGAGTCATGTACATGGAATACAGCCACATACCGACGCTAGGATTTCTGGCGAGCCGCTGCTCGCTTTTCAGCGTACTCAAAAATCCTGGGAAATTGCGATCCAGGTCTGACTGGAAACCGACTCGCCGACTCGGGACCACGGGAAAGGTTTGGCTGCCACGATCGCGAACAAACCGATAAGACAAGAATCCTTTGCGGAATCTACACTCAATGCAATTTCGAAGGTACCTCTTCTTACCGCAGTCGTTGTTCTCAATCAGCAGAGCAATTTTGTCAAACAACTCCAGTTGTTCGTTGTCGTCCATATCGTGAAATTCTTTCTCAAACAGCTTTTCAAACCCAGCCAAAACGGTCACGTCTAAAATGTCCAAATGTTCAGCTGGATCTCCTTCGACATCACACATGATGCCCTTTGTCACCGCGAAAGAGTAAAGGTCCCGTCTCCTTTTCTCCAGACGATGTTCATCAGTGCCCCGCATCAGTCGATCCTGAGGCCGCCAGTGGGGGCGGGGTTCCCAGGTCGCAATCATGCGTGCGGCATTCGACTTCGGGCGAGGTTTTCGGTAGCTCAATCGCAGTAGCGACTGGTTATCGAAGCATTTGTTGGAAAGAAGACGCAGACAATCGGCGCAAGCCCAACGCATTGATTCCCACGCTTCATCTCGCCAACTAGGCTCCAATTTGCTGTCTCGTGATCGAAAGGTGAGGGTCGGACCACCGTGCTCATTGGACAACTCGAGTTGAAGAACACGCTCTACTAGATGTTTCTTTTGCGGGTTTATAAGACGTCTGAAGTGTCTGCTGGATTGACTTAATGAAATGAGGCCGACAGGATCGAGGAGACGGATAATCTGACATTGGATCTCGTTTGGGAAGTCGGCAGATATGGCGATAAAGCGAATATGTGACTAACCAACTCAGAAGGTGGAACACGTAACTCAGTAGACTGGAGGCCTTTAATTTTTAATGTGAAGGGTGTTACAGATCTAGGGCTGTCAGCTTTATTCGACAATGAGTTATATAATGAACATATTACTAAACGTGGATAGCTGACTAAGGTTCCTTTAATGGCCGGCTTTAATTCAAGAAACCAACAAGGTATAAGCAGAGGGGCGGTCACGAATATCCTACATTAACTTATTACTAAAAGTAAAGCTCTTTTAAGGTAATGTGTTAAGAGATTGAATAAATATATATACAATTAAGAATGTAATCTAGATGAATGTGGGTAAGAGTCTAATTGTCAGACCAAATATATGCAAATTGAATAGCACAGTGACATTTCGGACAGTCAAAACACCATTAAGGATTAGTGCATCCCCTTCCTGCCGAGACTTCCGTTCCGAATGGCTCGAAAGAATTCGAGTTGTCGCACGGTACAGGATATAATAGTGCATCGGAAATCGGACCATCAGGACCAGTCACGTTAAGGCCGAGGGAGGCTGGGCCAGCGGCATTGGCGTATATAAGTCGAATGGGGTAGTACGTTTGAGGTTGGAGGGTCGTAGTGAACTTGACGTTGCCCGGGCCTCCATTATAACTGGCGTACGATTGATTGTTGCTCTTCTGGAAGTCGCCGCAAGCCGTGTTTCCAAACCAAGCGAGAGCAATATCATCAGCGTTAGTGATCTCGAAAGAGAAGCTTCCGCCCTGACACGTATACACAAACGCGGCATACTCGAATGATACAAAGTTGCCGTCCGCACCACCGATGTCAGAGAAGCTGGTCACTATTTGTTGACTCAGAGGTCTGTTCGTCTTGTAATATGTTGTGTTGAACCTCTCGTTGAAGTCTTCGGTGTTACCCCCAAATGGTTCCGGGTAGGTTGCTCGTCTTATACCGTTAGAGCAAGTGGGCTGAGCACACTGGGTTGTGGTACTGCTTGATGAAGCAGTAGAGGAAGTAGTAGATGAAATGGTAGAGGAAGTAGTCGAGGTAATAATAGAGGAAGCAGTAGAGGAAGTAGTAGAGGAAGCACTAGAAGAAGCACTCGATGAAGCACTTAAGGAAGCACTTGAGCTTGAGGAAGCACTCAAGCTTGACGAAACGCTTGAGGAAGCACTCAAGCTTGACGAAACGCTTGAGAAAGCACTTGAGCTTGACGAAGCACTCAAGCTTGACGAAGCGCTTGAGGAAGCACTTGAGCTTGAGGAAGCAGTTAAGGAAATGCTTAGGGAAGCACTTAAGGAAGCACTTAAGCTTGAGGAAGCAGTTAAAGAAGCACTTGAGCTTAAGGGAGTAGTTGAGGAAGCACTTAAGCTTGAGGAAGCAGTTAAAGAAGCACCTGAGCTTGAGGGAGCAGTTGAGGAAGCACTTAAGCTTGAGGAAGCGCTTAAGGAAGCACTTGAGCTTGAGGAAGGACTGGGTCTTGAGGAAGTAGTAGAGGAAAAAGTAGAGGAAGTAAGGGAATAAGTGGAGGAAACAGTAACAGTAGTACGTAGAGTGACAGGAGGGGTGACCCGGGTAATAACTGTTGTAGTTCCTCCACTTGTGGCTGGAAGGGTTGTTAAACCAGTCGTCGAATCAGTTAAGGTCCGTGTAGTCAAGCCACCCGATGGTGGTGGAGTCTTGAGCGTGATGACTGTAGTTGTGCCACCGCTAGTAGCAGGGAGAGTGGTAAGGCCAGTGGTTGATGCTGTAGAAGTAACAGTTGTCAATCTTCCAGTTGGGGTAGGCACGAAGGTAACCACAGTGGTAGTACCACCAGCAGAGTGAGGTAGTGTAATTAAACCCGTCGTGGAAGCAAATGATGTAACAGTTGTCAGCCCTCCTGGAGTGGATGCTGGGACCTTAGTTAGTCGGACTGTGGTAGTGCATGCCTTGGAACACCCGGCGGTGGGGACGATAGTTTCCGTCCCCGGTTTGAGCCCAGTCGTAGTCAAGGTAACGATAGTGCCAGGGGTCTCAGTTACAATAACTGTGCCGGTACAGAACGTACATCCCGGCGACGGAGGGATAGTTGTCGTTCCCGGTGTCGAGCCGGTCTCAGTGAGGGTTGTGAACTCAACTGGAGGAATAATAACTGTCGCCGTGCAGTAGTGGCATTTAGATGGTGGAGGTATAAGAGTTGTAGCTGGGACCTTGCCAGTTACAGTGACGGTCGTAGGCCCAGGGCAAGTGATCACCGTTGATCTTCCACCGCTCGAGGCCGGAGGAACAGTAGTGACATAGGCAGTCGGTCCGTGCTCGGTGACAGTGACGCAGTCGGTACACTGAGACCCAGGGCATGTGACGACCGTGGTCTTTCCACCTTCAGAAGTCGGAGGAATGGTACTGACATACGCAGTAGGTCCAGTTTTGGTGACAGTGACACAGTCAACACAATAAGGAGACCCAGGACAGGTAACTACAGTGGTCTTGCCACCTTCGGAAGCAGGAGGGATAGTACTGACATATGCACTAGGACCTTCCTTGGTGATAGTGACACAGTCAGCGCAGGGAGGGAGTACGCCAACCATGACTGTTGAGGGTCCTCCTTTGGGACCAGGAACCGTAGTGTAAAACGTGGAAGCGACAGTAGTTGTAACGGTAACACAACCATCACAAGGGGGGTAACCAGGCCGACCGGGAATATTAGGCATGCCTGACGCATTGGGCTGGCCAGGCTGGCTCGAGGCCTGAGACGCCGGGTACTTGGTGTAAGTCCTGAGATCATGTTAGACGATGCAAACTACAATGCAGCTCATCCTTACCGAGTGAGTGTTGAGGTTAAAGTCTTTCCATTGCAGAGAATCTCGACGGGCTGCAGCATGACTACCGCGGATCCATCAGCCGGGTCGCATACCTGGGGGCCTGGAGCTGCCAAAGTCCCGCCCATCAGGCCCAAGGCCGCACCCCATTCGAAAAACGAGAGTGGATGCATGACTTGGGAATCAAGTTAGGCAGGATTAAACGAGACACAGTGATCCAATGAGGTGAAGTAAGAAACAAAAGAGTGAATGGATTAGTTTGATCCTTGAGTAATTCTGCAGCGGATACTTGTATTAGATAGATGTAAAATCACTTGCAAGTTACTTATGAGTCAACCAAACAGCCCGAGCTCGGAAAAACAACATACCTAGTTTTGACAATACCCCGTTCAAGGGGCAATGCTATCAAACAGGCTTTACCATCCCTAGTTCACGAGGGATTTCCTAGCCTCATTGTAGCTAGATAGGAATAGTAGCATTTAGGTTAGGAACCTTAGCCTACGTTAACTCTAGAATATGCCTCCTGCAATAGGTTAGTTATTGCATGACGCTTCTGCCTACTTTCTGATTAGTGATAAATTCGGTAATCATATTAAACTACATCCCTGGACTAAAGGGATAGCCTAAACTTTATAGCTTCAGGGATAATTACTGGTAACCCTGGCATGAAATTACCCAAAATGGTTGATGGTGCTCCACTCAAAACTGATTTGACCCAAATTCTGTCCGTAGGCACTAGGATTCACGTCCCGGTTGGAAAGACCGACTGTATTCGTAATGCCTGACGCATTCGGAGTCTATCCTTGGATGGATTTTCTGGGTTGACTATGGCTGGTTGCCAATTTGATGAAGTGTCGGATTTCAAAGGAATATAACCAGGTGACCAGTCGGTGCCCCCTGAAGTTTGTAGTAGGCCCATAATACGCCAGCGGCGCATGAAAAGGAAAAGCTGGCGCAGTTGCAAATGTTACAATCGTGGCTGTGCCTGAACCGGAGGCAAGTAACCTAGTGAGACCTGTAGAAATGGCGGTCGGGGTGATAGTAATGGTGACTCGAATGACATATGTGACGACAGTTGTAGTTCCACCACTAGTAGCTGGAAGGGTAGTCATAGCAGTAGCAGCACCCTCCGTGGTGAGAGTGGTAAGACCGCCTGCAGAGCTTGTTGAAGAGGGCGCCACATTGCTTGGTGAAGAGCTAGACGAGCTTGAAAGAGCAACTGATGAGCTTGAAAAGCTTGAGGGAGCCGTCAAAGAAGATGTAGTAACCAATGTGACGATAGTAGTTGTGCCACTGTGGGTTGCAGGTAGCGTTATTATACCTGTAGTTAATGCAGTTAAAGTTAAGACTATCAGTCCCCCAGCTAGGTCACATAAGTGATACCAGTAGTGGTTCCTCTGCTAGTCGCAGGCAGGGTAACGAGACTAGTAGTGGAACCAGTTAGCATTAAGGTGGTAAGTCCCCTAGCTAGCGCTACATAAGTGATAACGGTAGTGGTATTCCGTGAAGTTCTAGGCAAGATCATTAGACCTGTAGTAGAAACAGTAGATATCTAAGTAATAAGACCACTATCTAGTATAATAAAGTTGATAACAGTAGTGGTACCGCCAGAAGTTGCAACTAAGGTTATAAGACCAGGAGTAGAGGTAGTTAAGGTCTAAGTTGTAATACCACCTGCAAGATTTGTTACAGAGAGCGCCAAAAAGGGCATGACAGTTCTAGTGACCCCACTGGTAGCAGGTGAAGCAGTGAGACAGGCGGTAGAAGTAGTTGACATCGCGGTTATTAGGCCAACCCAGATGCTATAGCTATGACAGCGACACGGACTATATTGGTCAGGTTTTTGAAGATAGACAGGCGAATAAATATGTAGTTGTAGTACCCGAGATAAGTCCAGTAACGTAGTAGTAACCACAGTTACAGGTCCAGGAGGAATTATACTGTTACTCGAGGTGCTCTGAGATTGGGATCCACTTGTCGATGTGCTTTGAACATACGTAATGACAGTTGTGGTACCGCCTGATGTAGCAGGGAGGGCTGTGGGACTAGTAGTTGATCCTGTAGATGTTAGAGTGATAGCTGCTCCAGACTGGGGGAGAGTCGTGTGGATAATGACCGTAGAGCGACCTCCTGAAGGGCCAGGACGAACTGTTGTGAGGCCTGTAGTTGAGGCTGTTGAGGTGACTGTAACATAACTGCCAGATGGGGGGTTGTATAGGTAATTACAGTAGAAGGACCCCCTAAAGGACCGGGAGGTACTGTAGTCAAGCCAGTACTTAATGCAGTTAATATAATTATAGTGTAATTACCTAAAGATAAATTCATCTAGTAAGAGGCTAATGCAGTAGCTATAATATAAATTATTTAAGTATATCTCTTAAGAGTAAGATACCCTATAATAGCTAATATTATAAAGTTTATATTTAATATATTCTTAAAAATTACTTTATTATTATAGTTATTATTTTTAATTAATAATATTTAATAAAATTAAATATTACCTAAAAGTTAAAATATAAATTAAAGTAAGGTTTTTAAATAATAAGTATTTAAGCTTTTAAGAGGTTTTTAGTAATAAAGCTATAATAATAATTAATTATTAAAGTATTATTCTTTTTAAGAAAATAAAAATAATTAATATAAGTTTAATATATTAATTTTTATACTTTACTTTATTAATTAGTTTTTAATTTACTATTATATAATAATAGAAATAAGTATTAAACTTTTATACTATTTTAGCCCTTAAGTATAAGATTATTAAAGAAAGGAAATTATATTATACTTTAAATTATTATATTATATACACGTTATAAACTTCTCTATATAGGCTAATTAATTAAAAAAGGATAAATACTTATAGAACTAATAGTAGCCTTATATTATAATGCCTATATAAGACTATTTTAAATATATAAAAGATATTTATTAATACTTTTATAAAACTCAACTTACTAGCTATTTAAAGTACCTTTTTATATTAATAAATATATATATATATATTACTTAATTATAAAAGATAAAAGAAGTACTTTAAGTATATTATAAATATAAGCTTAATATAAATTAATTAACTTATTAAGTAATATTATTATTATTATAATTTAATATTTTTAGTTTAAATTATTACTTTTTTATTAATATTTAAAAATTAAAAATAATTAATTAAATAAAAAGTTAAATATAAAAGAGAAAAGTATATTATATACTTATTTATATAATATACTTATTAATTATATTATATTATATAAAAAAATAAAGATAAATAAACAGCCTTTTAGTAAATTTATAATAAAATTATAAAGTATATATACAGATAAGAAGATAATATAGTAATCTAAAAAAGGATACCTTTAAGGAGGTAGATATAAAGGTCCTAATAAGATTTGCTTAGTAGAAACATTACTGATACCACCCTTTGTGTAAAACTGCATTAACAGTCTAACTGTAGCCTAAAAACCGAGCTTTACGTCTCTCTCTGGCAACTATTAGATATAAGCCAAGTAGACCAGCAACCCGCCCTGCAGTACCACTAAGAACAGTGGCGATCAAGCTCTTTTTATAATCACTGCTAGAATTCCCTCCACCTCCTGACGTTGTAAAATACTAGGCTGTACAACCATGAACAAGTTGATTGTACGTGACTGGCTGGGTTGAATTTACAACAACATCGCCAAATGGATCTATGATCGTGAGACCATAGCTTCCACCCGATTGTGCATTGATGACAATAATCCTAAAAGGAATGGTTTGACAGGCGTTTGAAATGAGCGTAGTGGTAAATCTACCAGATCCTTTTTCATAAGCAGAACTAGCCGTGAGGAGGGTATTGGTGTTATCATAACCAGAAGCTGCTTGAGGCCCCAGCCACAGTGCTGCAGCATCATCAACCGTATCGAATTGGAAGGTGTATTGCCCAGTAGCACGGGGGTAAAAGCTGCCATGGAAATCCCATGAAGAGTATTCGGATGTTGAGACTCCCAAGCTTACTCCATTGTATGTCGGATTTTGTCCCTGCGCGGGAAAGCCGGTGACGTACGTTACTCCAGATACGTTTGGAACATAACCTTGTTCAGCGAGCTGGAGTTGCTTGAGACGATATGGGCCGTTGGCACTGGTATCATTGTTATATGGGATGAGTCCAGGTGATATGTCGTTGGTCGAAGATTGCTGGAGCTTATAGTAGTCCCTAGCCAATCCAGGTGTGCATGACGGAGACGGGCAAGAGGAAGCTGATGTGGTGCTAGAGGCTGATGTGGTGCTGGAAGCTGATGTGGTGCTGGAAGCTGATGTGGTGCTAGAGGTTGATATGGTGCTGGAAGCTGATGCGCTGCTAGAGGCTGATGTGCTGCTAGAGGTTGATGCGCTGCTGGAAGCTGATGCGCTGCTAGAGGCTGATGCGCTGCTAGAGGCTGATGCGCTGCTGGAAGCTGATGTGCTGCTAGGCAAGAGATCAAGAGTAACAACAGTGGTTGTGCCTCCACTAGTAGCTGGAAG